TCCACCTCCCCCTGCTCCTGAGGGGTGATTGGGGCAGCAGCTGCCACTCACACCACTGACAATGCCAGCCCCGCTCGCACCTGCTGCTGGCGCTGGCACCAATCACTCCACACCTTCAGCGGGTGTGAGCAAGACCGGGACCATCAGTGTGTGGGAGCAGCAGTGGCAGGAGCAGGGCTGCCAGCAGACAGGGGACTGAGGGCCATGATGGGAGGGCCTGGGCCGGGGTGCAGAGGGTGAGCCAAGACCCATCCCTGTGCCTACTGCAGCCTTGTGGCCCACAGTTCCTTTCAAGGTGCACGAATTCGTGCACTGGACCCCTAGTTTAACATAAAATAAGCTGTCCATATTGAAAGTGTCCAATTTGATGAGTTTTGACATAAGTATACGTCTATGAAGCCATCACTATAATCAAGATAATGAACATCTCCATCACCAAAGGTTCCTTCTGGTCCTTGTAATCCATCCTTCCCTCTACCTCCATCCCCAGACAGCCACTGATCTGCTGTCACTAGAGGTTCATTTTACGAAGAGAAGTAGGCATAAATAGACATATAGTTTGCATTCTTTTGTGTATGACTTATTTCACGCAGCAGAATAATCTTGAAATTCATCCATGCTGTTGTATGTGTTGTTAGTTTTTCCTTTTTATTGAATAGTATTCCGTTGTGTGGATATACCTAAATTTGTTTATCTGCTTACCAATAGTAAAATACATTAGTTAAGATACTCTTAAAACTTTTGTACATTCTGAGTTCAGTCCTTCTAAATCACTTTTCAAGTCAAGATTGTCAATGTCTGTGATTTCCTATATATCTTTTATATTATCAAGAGCACTGCTGCCCTGGCTGGTTTGGCTCACTGGATAGAGCGTCGGCCTGGGGACTTAAGGGTCCCAGGTTCGATTCCGGTCAAGGGCATGTACCTTGGTTGCGGGCGCATCCCCAGTGGGGGGTGTGCAGGAGGCGGCTGATTGATGCTTCTCTCTCATCGATGTTTCTGGCTCTCTATCCCTTTCCCTTCCTCTCTGTAAAAAATCAATAATATATATATATATTTTTTAAAAGAGCACTACTTATAAAGCATTTTTTAAAATAATTTTATAAAAGAAATGCCTTTATTGCTGAGCTCTAAAGCCAGCTTTGCAATTATATGTGATGCTAACTTTTCTATACAGTTTTTTTTAATGTGGTAAAATATATACTAGATAAAATTTGCCATTTAAACCATTTTAAAGTGTACACTTCAGTGGCATTAATCACCTTTGGAATGTTGTGCAATCATCACCATTATCTATTTCTAAAATTTTTCATCGCCCTGAACAGAAACTCTGTATCCAATAAAGAATAACTCCCCATTCTCTCCTCCCCCAGCCTTGGTAACCTCTGATCTACTTTCTGTCTCTATACATTTGCTTATTCTAGATATTTCATATAAGTAGAATCATATAATGTGTCTTTTGAGTCTGGGTTCTATTCCCTAGCATGTTGAGATTCATCCATGTTGTAGCATGTATTAGAACTTTGTTTTTGTGGTTGAATAATATTGTACCATAGGTATGTATATACCACATTTTGTTATACATTCATCTGTTGACGGTTAGGTTGTTTCCACCTTGTAAATAATGCTGCTAAGAATATACAAGTATCTGTGAGTCTCTGTTTTCAATTCTTTTGGTTTTATATCTAGGAGTGGAATTGCTGGGCCATATGGTCATTCATCAAAGTGTTTTCCATAGAAGCTGTACCATTTCATATTCCCACCAGCAATGTCTGAGGATTCCAATTTCTCCAAGCTTGCCAACACTTCTTATCTCTTTAATAATAGCCAGGCTCATGAGTATGAGGTGGTATCTCATCGTCGTTTTAACTTGGTGCGCTTTCACTGCCTACCTATCATTTTGCTCCCTCTTAGCCCTCTTTCTGTGTTAATAACTTTGTATGGAATTTGGCCTTGATACTTTTCTATTGCTTATTTTTATGTGAAATTATTTCTCCTGACTTTTGGAATGAGGCTACATTCAGGAAGGATTTTCAACCTTCACAGAGCCTCCTCCTTTGCTGTTTTTGTGTGGCATTTAAAAATAAGGCAGCTCGCCTAGACCGTGTGGCTCAGTGGTTGAGCGCCGACCTATGAACCAGGAGGTCACTATTCAATTCCCTGTCAGGGCACATTCCCGGGGGGGTTGCAGGCTCGATCCCCAGTGGGGGGCATGCCGGAGGCAGCCCGTCGATGATTTCCTCTCATCATTGATGTTTCTGTCTCTCTCTCTGTTTCCCTGCCTCTCTGAAATCAATAAAAATATATTAAAAAGTAAAATAAATAAAAATAAGGCAACTTGCTTTCTGTGACTTCTTGCCTCTGGTCCTTATCCTTGGTTAGATCTGGCCCATCTCTTCCCTTGCCTTCAAATTCTGGTAGTGTTTTACCTGTTTCTATATGGACTATAAAGACCCCCATGAAAGAAACAGTCTCTGCGCCACCCTCACCACCCCCCATCTCTATCCTGCTCAATTTTGATTTTAGTTCCAGTTTTCCCTGGTATGGAGCCCTGTCCTGGAAGACAGCAGGTCAGTCTCATGAGCTTACTAGGGCTGCCCTGCTACAGCCCTTTCAGGTTTAGGCCCTTGCACCCACCCACAGTTGCAGGAGACAGAACCTCTCCAGCTTCAGTGGGCGTTTTTAAATTGGCTGCCCAACTCTTCAGTGATCACTATTTTGGGTTCTCCTGTTCTCAGGTCCATTACCTATTATCTCTGTTCCTTTCTTCCTTTTTTCCTTTTCTTCTTACAGAAATGCTGTTCTTGTGGAAGCGTTTGGTTTGCCCCATTTGCTTTATTTTGGGGTTTATAGGGTTACTTTGCCACCTGCTTTTATCGGTATTGTCTGGGTTATTTTGGTTTTGCTGTTTAGTTGGTTTTAGGTGGGGACTCAGAGATTGAAAAACTATGCTGCTACCACCAACAACCTGCTACTTTTGTGCTGAATTTTGTTGCTTAATGATCTGTCTTCAAATTCTGGCAGTGTCTTATATGTTCCTACCTTGACTATAAAGACCCCCATGAGTAGCCATACAATCCTAATACAACCTAAAACAAGAAGGATGAGTTTATGCAGACTGCCTGCTGATGTCTTGCCATGCCATGCCCTATAATAGCTGGGAATAAAGTAAAAGGCAATTCCAGTTTCAGAATGCATCCAGAGTGGCCGTAACCTTAAGTGTAAGGAAGTCCGTATGTATTCAAATAGCAACTGAATTCAGACCAACTCACAGCCAGATGCTATTCCCAAAAGTCCCAGTAGATGGCAGAATGGGTTAGATCAGTGGTTCTTAACCTTCTTAAGGCTGCAACCTTTAATATAGTTTCTCATGTTGTGGTGACCTCTAAGGCTGCGACCTTTAATATAGTTTCTCATGTTGTGGTTAAAATTATTTTTGTTGCTACTTCATAACTGTAATTTTGCTACTGTTATGAATCATAATGTAAATATCTGATATGCAGGATGTATTTTCATTGTTACAAATTGAACATAATTAGTGCATAGTGATTAATCACAAAAACAATATGTAATTATATATGTGTTTTCCAATGGTCTTAGGCGACCCCTGTGAAAGGGTCGTTCAACCCCCAAAGGGGTCTTGACCCAGAGGTTGAGAACCGCTGGGTTAGATAATAGTAGTGGTTCTCAACCTGAGTGGGCACCACAAGCACCTGCCAGACTCCAGCCTGAGTTTCTGATTGGTTAGGTCTGGGGTGGGGCCCAATATTTTGCATTCCTTCCAAGTTCCCAAGTGATGCCAATGTGCTGGAAGGAAACCACACCTGGAGAACACTGGATTATGGGAATCAATGTAGACTAATCCACAGCTCATTCACTCACACATCCATCTGACCCCTCCTTCTGAGTTTATTTACTGTGTACCAGTTCTAGATGATATGGGTATAGAGAGTAAGATACAATTCCTGTTCTCAGGACAGTCTTGTGAGGGAGGAAAAGAGAAATGAAGAAATTAACGCTTAGTCGTTTCTTCTAATGCTTACTTGTGTCAGCCTAGGCCCTAGGCTAATACACAACCTTTGAACATGCTTTTGTTTGCTTTACTTATTCCCTCTCATTTAGAGTTCCAGCTTTGTGTCCGTAAAACCTGAATGATCAACTGGCTCCAGAGTGGCCTTACGTGGCTAAATCTTCTGAACTAACAAACTCAGGAATGTTTGCTCTCCTGTGAAACTCTGATGGAAAATCTCCCTGAACTCAGAGAGGCCTGACATATAAACACACCTGACACAGCCCTTCCCTGACTCCGCATTAATGAGTAAAAACACTAGGATTACTATGTCCTTGGAGTCTCATTTGGTTGCCTTCTTGATGAATCCCTCATTTTAAGATTCAACAGTTAATTTTGGAAAAAATAAACCTTTTAATTCTTGATTCTCCATATTTTCCTTTAAATATTATTGATCACCTGTAATACATCTTCATTAGGAAAAGTTTAAAATAAAGATACAGTTTTATATATGCCCAGTGCTATTGATTAGCTCTCTTCTGAAGTGTTAGGTCTTACCAGGATTACTTTAACAGGCAATGCATAATTTGTGACATATTGCATTAATTACTGGGACTTAAATAGGAACTGTTGATAGGTTTGCTTGACACCAATCCTTTTTATGTAATGAAAGAAAATTTCAATGTATGCCTTGTGTCGTTTTATCTAAATTAGTGATGCCTAGAGTAATGAAATTGTATTTAAGACTCTTGTCTCAAAGTTTTCCATAGTATCTTAAAATGTAATGAAAATACATGGGTAACAGAAGACAGAATTCAAAAGAAATATAAATGAGCGCACATACAATACTTGTCTTCACATGTTAAAGACCTGTCAATTAAAGCAACTCTGAGATACCTTCTTTATACTTACTAAATTAGGAAGCATGTTTACAATAATTGCTCAAAAGTGATGGATGTTGTGTTGAAACATGCACACGCCAACCAGCAAGATGACAACATAAGTCCCTTTAATCCATTTGGAAGCCACATGATAAATATGAAGCAAAAGCCACCACAAGTTTCTTCTTGGACACAGAGGAGGTTTCTGAGAAATCAGAAATGTTCTTTCTTGCCCTGACTGGTTTGGCTCAGTGGATAGAGCGTTGGACTGCGGACTGAAAGGTCCCAGGTTCGATTCCGGTCAAGGGCATGTACCTTGGTTGCGGGCACATTCCCAGTAGGAGGTGTGCAGGAGGCAGCTGATCAATGTTTCTCTCTCATTGATGTTTCTAACTCTCTATCTCTCTCCCTTCCTCTATGTAAAAAATCAATAAAAAGTTAAAAAAAAAAAAAAAAGAAAGAAATGTTCTTTCTTGACCTGGGCAGTGGTTAGTTGGGTGTTCACTTTATAATTATTCAGTAAACTGTGTGTGTGTGTGTGTGTGTGTGTGTGTGTGTTTTATGTGCCCTTTCTTCTAACAAAAATGTTAAGAAAAAAATTTCCTTTGCTTTTACCAATAAGTTCATCTCGGGAACACGTTCTAAGGAAATATGAGCAAAGAACTTCTCTGTAGCATTATCTAAACAGCAAAACTGGAAACTATCCACCAAAATATGAATGGTTTATCAAATTATAGGTAGTAAAGAAGTATTACAAAGTATTGTGGTAATTGCAAAGACTCAAAACACATTTCTGATAGCAGAATGCAAAACAACGACTTGCAATCACATAAATCTATACACATGTGCGTAAGGATTAGATGTGAATATTAAAAATCATTACAATAAAGGAACGTTGGGTAATTTTCTCTGTAATTTGGTGTTATCGTTATTTTACCACAAAGAGAACAGAACATGTGGTTAAAATGCAAACAAAGCACAAGGACCTTCCACTGGCAAGGACTACTTATGTCTAATCAAGAGTGATCATCAAACATTCTGCCCAATGTACACAGAACACTGTAGATGTTTATCGATACGGCAGAACAAGGAGACCTAAGAGAAGAAGAGCCTTGTGTAATTGGTCTTTCATTTTTTTTCAGTGCTGATATTCTCAGTCATTTTTTCTCCATAACACACAGCCTCTAAGATAATCCACGAAATTTATTAGAATATCTCATCAAGAACTTATTGAGCATTGGGTAAGAACTCAATCTTACAGTGATGCTGGGGAGACAAGGTATTCACCTAAATTGTGAAAAATGTATGGATCAAGGGTGAAAGTTAATGCTTTGCCAACTGCAAAAGGCTCTTTGGATGAATTGCCAAATACATTGCACAACTGTCCTAGGCAAAGAGGTTGAGTCAGTGGGGGATGGTAGTCAGCAGAGCTCCAAAGGTAGTGGAAGGTCAACCAGGTCCTGAAGGCTGGCCCTAAAGGCTAGCCCCAGGACAGGTGGAGAGGCACAGAGGGCGTTCGCAGGAGGGTGGGGGAAGAGTCAAAGTGCAAAGCCAGGAAAAGAAAGAACAAGAACTGTCTGAAGAGATGAGCTGGGGCTCAGCAATTAGCCACTTTTCCAAGCCTCAGCTTTCTTATTGGTAAAAGAGGAATTAAAATCTGCCCTATAATGGTGCTTTTGAGGAGCAAAGGTACAGGGCCATGTCTGATGACAAGGAGTCCTACAAATTTAAATTAAGAAGAATGAACCAAGTCGGGCATGTGCTGAGTAGAGGGCAAAAGAGAGGAAGATGATTCCAAGGTCCCGGAACTACGTAATGGTACTTTATTTTTCCTTTCCATTTACATCTACACTTGAGAGTCACCAAAATTCCTTCCTTGCATTTTACTTTTAAACATATTGTTTTCCCTCTTGGATCTCATCCAAAATCATTATATTGTCAGGCTTACACTCTAGTACATGCAGAAAAAGTAAAGGGACAGAGCCACTTCCGATCACAGGCCATTCCATCTCTAAAAACACATTCTAAAACACATTCACTTATGAAAAGTCCCCTCTGAATTGGTTGTAGGGGGGAGGGGGAGATAAGAAAATAGTCTTAACTACAGAGTGTATTTTTAAGGAAATGCAGTTTTATTAATTTCAAGTACAAATAGTAATTTGAGCTTGGCTAACCAAATGTTGCCTAATTGAGGAACCTGTTTTAATGTATAGATATAAATGACTTATAGTTAGCACGATCACTCATGGGTAAAAGGAAGTTCTGATGCATGAAAATAACGTCCTGTCTTATGGAGACACCTTGTACCCCAATCACTCCACTAATTAAGCAGTTCTTACTCCCCCTGTCCCACAGACAGTTCAAATATAAACTTCCCCTCATTCCCACTGGATCACAACATACATCAAATTAGGGAAACATGAGTTGATGAAATTGGCCACATTGCCTAGATGCTGGATTGGTGAGACCAGCCTTTTTCAACCTGAGCCTTCTCATCGAGAGTACTACATCTAAATTAGTGAAATATGTCTGTTCATAATGTGAGTACAGGGACTCCAAAAAACTGTTGAGTTTGTTATCATCTGAATAATTTGCCTGGTTTAAAAATGCAAACACAGCCCTAGCCACTTTGGCTCAGTAGATAGAGCATCGGCCTGCAGACTGAAGGGTCCCAACTTCTATTCTGATCAAGGGCACATGCCTGGGGTTGCGGGCTCAATCCCCAGTAGGGGGTGTACAGAAGGCAGCCGATCAATGATTCTTTCTCATCATTGATGTTTCTATCTCTCCCTCTCCCTTCCTCTCTGAAATCAATAAAAATATATTTTTTATAAATGCCAACACATTTTTATTTGAGCACAATCCTGAAGAGAAGTAGCTGATTCTTTCAGCTATAATAATTCAGTGGGTTTACAATGGTCAGGCCTGTAGCACTAACTTTAAGCAAGGAAACCATCCAGAGAAGTCTGGAAACAACATTGAAACAACTTGACAGCAAAACGCCTTTTTGTAGGAGCATGATCATTCAGCCTGATTAGGCTGATGGGAGTGGCCCAAGACTATTCGGTCACCCACATGAGGACTGATCCTGAAAAAATTTACAGGGAAGCTCTGGTCAGAGACCCTGCCAAACACCCCTAGTGGGCATTTCTGTTCCTTTTATCAGACACTCCATCTGGGGACTGAGTAATTCTCAACAGTATCTTGGTTGTCTTCAACATCCTGGCAACCACCAGCATAACCAGATACAAAGGCTGCGTAGGACTGACCTAAAAGGGCTTCCCTCCTATCCTGACAACTCCGTGTCCCTAAAGAGAAGGGTGACAGTGTGTCCTACCCCAGGCTGCATCCTGGAGCAGTGATCTGATTCTGCACATTTCCCTGCACAGAAAGGCAGGTGATTCCGTCACCTAGGCCTACAAGAGACCCAGGGAAGGAGGCCCAGAAAGCTAGAAATGATGGTGGGAAGACACACCTCGAGGGTCCCAAGAAGCCAGGGCACGCAAAGCTTCAAGGAGCTAGCTGGCTGGATTTGGCCAAAGCAAGTAAAGCCAGACTCCACTATCCTCAGTTTCTTTTGCTTGGGCAAAATGTCTTATCTAACTGAAACAATTTCTTCATGTCAAAAATAATACTGTTTCCAAATGTATTTCTTTTCTCCCTAAGATATTTTATAAATACAGAGCAGTGGTCATTCTCCTGAGAGCAAATACTAGTATAATCACACAATCCTCAATTACACTTTACGCTAAGCGTTTTCAATGGCCAGAATAATTTTTAAACTACGAAAAATTAAGTGCAAACCTTAAAACTGAACAGCAACAGTCCTCACCTTCCACTCATGAGAAGCTGTCCAAACATGTGAACCTTCCTTTGAACTTCTTCGAAGTGGAGCCCCTTCTCTGAAGGAAGTCTATTTCTCTGCTAGGTGTGAAAGTCAGGTGAGAACCAGTTTTGACAACAATGATGGCTCAAATAATAGGGCCAGGCCGGATGAAACTAGCTTTCTTTGCAATGGGAACAAAGTTGGCTACCAACCTCATGCTCACGCAGCTGTCCCTGGACCCCTGCACCCTGGGTTCTCATGTGCCTGTATGAACCCGAGAGAAGCCCTCCCTTCTCTTCCACCAAACTCGGGGTCACTCAAGATATCCAATGCGCATAAAGAAGGATGGAGTCCATCTGCTCCTAACTTTGGAATTTTTCAGAAATGAGAATTTCACAAAAGAAGATGCAGAGGCAAACTCTTGCCTCCGAGCTAAGGAAGCAGACATCGGCGTGTGGGGAAGGCGGCCCCCTGACTCAGTGAAAGGAAGCTAAGCAACCACCGCTTCTTATCCCTTGGCTTCTTTCGCTGACTCCCCACTTGGTTCGATCTTTTTAAAGGATGAGTTGGTATTCCATTTTTATAAAAGCTGGCAATAGTATGACTAAATCTAGCATCTATAAAGCAATTAAGTAAAATGCCCCGGTACAATAAATGCAGCTGTGAGGACTCAGTTAGGACTCCAACCCCTGCCCCAAGGACTGCTGTCAAAATCGGCCCCACTAAGCACCACCTTGGTAACTTCCATATTCACACTGCACACAGAAGGGGAACACACCATACAAATTTCAGGTTTACCATTTCCAAAAAAATTTCCCTCAAATGACTATTATTATGAATTACTTGCTCTTTGAAGCTACTGAATATATCTCAAAATGAGGTGGGATAGGAATGGTCATGAAATCAGTAATCTGTTATTTGTTTAGCCGCATTAGAGGGAAAAAGTCATTTACCCTCACCACTGCCCAGTCTCCTGAGGCTCCTGCAAAACAGACTCCAGCTGCAATTCCATTTCTTTAGAGGACCAAGCAGAGCTCACAACAACTCAGTATGAGATGGATGAAGATACTGTTCTTTTACCTAATTCCTTTAGTGTCAACATGGATATATAACTAAACCTGTCCTTGAAAATGACCATCAATTCTCTAAACTTCACAGCAGTCAGAGGTCCAATGTCAGGCTCTTGCTAATGCAGCTTCTGGGAAAGCTGTGTCCCCACTATAAAGGGGTTCTCTCCTGGGAACTCCTTTTCCCCACCTATAATGGATATGCTTTATATTATAGTCAGCAAGAAGAATGAATAACTCATGTTCCCAGGCAGAAGCACTCACTGAGGTGCTAGTTCTTGTGTTGTCTTTCCTGTCTGTGAATGAAACATGACCCTTCACTCCTCTATAACACAATGGACACTTGAATGGTCAGACAATTATGGTAAAACATTTCCACTGCTGAAGCACAGTATTCTTTAACTTTATAGCAATGAGAGGTGGAGGACACCAACTGACAGCCCATAGACACGATTTGTTTAGCACACTGTATTTTAAATTATCTTCAATTAGTTGGAAATGTTTTTTAAAACCAGGAAATTTCCAGTAAAATTTTGGATTTCTACTTCCTCTTCAAAAATCAGACCCAACATTGAGCTCATTAATGCCTAACACTTGTGCTGAGTAACTGCCCTATTCAATAAGCTTTCCATGGTTCAGCTCAATCCTACCCAGCATGCATCACTCATTTATGTTATCTGCATGTTGAGTTTGTGAACCCTAATCTAGGGCAATTCCTTCATTGTAAATCTGATTTAAAAAAAAAAAAAAAGAGGGCCCAGGGACAGAAAGCTAATCTGCCTGAAGCCACACATCAAGTTGGAGACAAAAGGGGAAGATACCAGGGACAGGTACCTTTCTAACATAGCACATTGCCTTTCATTTCTATAGATCCACAACTCCTATAAGCATTTCTTCCACCAATTATTTACATCTTCTAAGTGGAATATGTGCATTTTCTACATTCTCCTTTTAGCCATCCTTTTCATATATTTGATTTCCTTATAGATGACAACTGTATCAGTAATTTCATTTATATATTATCGCCAACCCCAAAGAAACAAATTAGGAATCAGACAAAACAAAAATGTCAACTTCTGCACAACTTAGCAGATGCAGGACCAGAAAGAATCTTACAAATCACTTAGCTTAACAACTAGCTATACAGACAGGAGAATGAGGCCAGGGAAGTGATATGCCTAGGTAAGGGAGCCAGTCTTCAATCTTCCACTCCACCATGTCACCTCTGTGCAGTCACCTGGGAGACCGAGAACCAGCTTGCTCCAGATATAAACAGAAATGACAGAACTCCCTCACAGCTCAGCTGTGGCTAACGTTGACTCTGCCAAGAACCAGAGATCAGACTACTAGTACATTACAATCAATCAATTTATAGACCTGGATTTGTACTGGAAGACAGATTTTCTTTAGAACTGGTATTTGGTGGAAAGTTTTGAATGTCACAGGACTTGGTGGTCTTTATAACACTGGTTGTTATAAAAGCTAAGCTCCATGTGAGAAAGTTGCTGTAAAACATCATAGCACCATTGCTTCAACTTCAAAAGAAAAAAAGGCAATGATAAAAAGCTTTAATAATAGACTGAATGTGTTTTTATAGGCAACCAATTAGCATATTAATGAACCATTTAAATTTCTTTACTTAAAACCAATATTCAAGAAAGATGAACCCAAAATGCATACTCTTACTCTGACCAAAGTAACTAAATACAAATGAAGTCGATGTTGTATCCATTAGCATGCTGTGATGTATGTCAGTAAAACGAGCCCTCCCCCACCCAGAGCCCTGGCCCCCTGGCAAACATAGGTAAATGATTGTGCACTGCGTGATGATACCATTAGGTGAGAACTTTGGTTCATGCAGTCGGCTGCCATAGAGGTTGCACTCAAACCCTGCGGCCCCGGCACCCAAAGTCAGTCAGCGGTGGTGGCTCATGGCATCAGCCGTGCTCCTTCCACAACACCAGGTGAATACTGTGATCAGGCATGCTGGTGGCAAAGACCAAGCCCGTGTCATTGTGCCCATCCAGTCCATTCAGCCAGGAAGCTTCGCCTGCCAGGAAGCTTGAGCCTCTCTTTGACTTCCTGTACTCTGGCAGGGGCCAACGGCTAATCAGGCTCTCTGTCCGCAAGTCCATGATATATAGGTAGCGGTTGTCAAACAGCAGGGCAAAGACATCTCCAAAACCAAGCAAGGCCAAGTTTGCTATCTCGGGAGTCTTGATAACTCTACAAGGATGAGAATAAGTAACATGAACCAGAAGGCAACTAACTTTGCTTTTGTTTATGCTACTGTAATCTTTTCTGGAGACATTTAAAAGCAATACACAATTCAAGCAAATTTAGAGAGTTAAATGAAAGTTTTTGATAAAAAGGAAAATACAAGGACAAAAAGTTCAGCCTACTTTAAAATGGGGGGGGGGGAGTGGGTAAGAGTTCATAATAATATGATAACACAGGCATGTAAGGAGAAAGGTGGTATTTGATGAACAGTTGTAAAAGCACAAATGCCCATCCAAGCTGGAAAGGATCTCTCATATTCTCATGTGACATTTTCATTTCCAAGATGTAAAGACTAAAGTCCAGCCAGGATAAATATACTTTGTCTAAAGATTCACAACTCATCAAGTACTACCAGACAGAACTCAAATGTAAGACTCAAGTCTTACCACTAGCTGAAAAGATTTATTCATCAAATCCTAGAGCACTGGCCTAGGGGCTATTCTCAGCAGGTAGCAAATACATAGGTTCTTCTTTAAAACAGTAGAAACTAGAAATATTAAGTTTCCCAAATAATCCAGAAACATTAATAATGTATTCATAAGTATTTGCTAGAGAATATGGGGAGTTGGAAGGACAACCTTAACCTTCTCAGGTTCACAGTTGCTAAAACATCAATGACAAAGATATAAAATTGGAAGGATCTAGGTACAGGGTAGCCAAGAAAAAACTTTAAGTCTCTGTTGTCTATATACTTAGTGAGGTAAAAGATGGACAAGAAAAGTTGATGTTATCTTTAGAGGCCCTAGGAAAAGAACTACAGGATGAGGGATCTACAAATTCTGTCCTGGACAATAAGTTTGGGCCCCATGAGAGGCTAGGTTAGCCTATGCTTTAACAAGGACGCTACCATCTAGTGTTATGTCCAAGAGGTCAACCAGATGGCAGGACCTGGTAACCAGAAAAAGTTACAAACAGCTGAAGAAGATTGGCTGAGAGGGGGAGAAAGAGAATTGGCAGGGACAGAGAAAGTATACACGATCATCACCTTTAAGGAGTAAAGGATGTGTGAGAGGCAAGACATTATAAACTCTAGAAGAGAAAATAGGGCCCAAGGGAAAGGTATGAGGGAGGGGATTTAGTAGTGAAGAAGGCCTGTTTCTCACACTCAATCTGTCCAAGACTGAACTTATTAGCCCAACCTGTTTCTCTTCTTTATTTCCTTGGTTGCTCATTCACCCAGTTGCTCAAGCTAGGAAGCATGGCAACCATCCACCTCTTCTCCTTACTGAAGCCATAAATTCAAACACCAAGATCTACTGATTTTACATCCTAAATTTTCCCAATTCATTTATGACTATCAGAAATGCCACCATTCTGAGCTAAGACATCATCTTTCAACTGCACTACTACCAAGAGTTTTCAATTGGTCTCCCTATATCTATTCATGGCCCCTTTCAATCAGTTAAGCTCACACTAAAATCTAATCCTATTACCAGCTCATTTACATTTCTAAACCCTTCTATGGCTCTTTACAGAACTCACATCTTCAGCCACACTGGCCTTCTTTCAGTTCCTTAAACGCACCTGGCAGGCTCCTTCAGTCTCAGAGCCTCCCAGACTGGTCTCTCAGTCTACAATGCTCTTCACTGTGTCCCTGGCGCTGAGTCAATGCAAATACTCATCCTTAGGGCTCAGCCCAAACTCTTCCTCAAGGAAGCTTTCCCTTATTCCTCAAACTAGGTAAGATCTCAAAGTACCTAATACTATGTTGCTCTTATCACAACCATCAAAACATCTGTATGTTATTAGCTACTTAATGTCAATCTTCCATTCTGCTGGCTAGTAATTTCCAGTTTGATAAGTATTTCTGCTAGTACCCAGGATACCTCACAATGCCTAACACAGGGAGGTACTCAATAAATATCTGCTAACGAACAGAGCAATGGTGCAATGAACACAGACAAATAAAAATTCCTACAAAAGAGATCTGAAAGAAACTGGGAAAAACAGCAAGAAAATCTGTTAAGTCCCACATCAATGCAAAGCAGGAAATAATCAGAAACTTAGAAAACTAGGGGATAGGACTTTAGCCTAGTAAAGGTGAGATCCTGTGACTCCAAAGACTGAAGCACAAATATGCTGCAGAATAGAATACAGGTTTTGACAGGCTCACAGTAACACCTTTTGATGACTTGAGAATTATAAAAGGACATCCCTGTGGTGCAGTCCTAGTTCAAGTGACTGCACCTTAGATGAACTGAACGTCTTACTGCCCTTTGTGCTTTCCTTTTTTCAGTTCGCTTCTAAGAGTAAATAGCCCTACCTGGTCTTGGCAACTGAGGCCACAGGATTAGTACTAAGATTTCAAAAGAGGTTGTTTTATTTGTGTTTGAGGGGAAGGGGAACCAAGAGATAAAACAGCCCCCTTTCAAAGAAAAATCTGAACCTATCACTTCCTAGCAGCAAACAATCTTGTAGATTTACTACTTAAAGCTAGTGGCTCCAAATACCAAAACCTAAAAGAACTTTCACTGGGACTCTGGACTCTTTACTGTATATTCTGAGTAAGAACACATGAGAAAGGATAAAATTAAAACCTTTAGAGACTCTAAGCATTTAAAAGACAGAGATACCTCATTTTACCTTACCTTTACATCATTTCCTCCCCAATTTTAATTCAAAACACAAACAAAATTAAACTGTAAATGATCTGATTTCCCCATGATGACTACTTAGATTTTTTCTTTTTGCAAAGTATCAAGTTCTTTCAAAAGTTCCTTCTCTATGGCTTGATGGTATTTTAAGCACATGCTTGCTGGATGACCCAGCTATGGATGAATGGATGGATGGATGAATAGATGGATAAATGATGGATGCTGAACTAGAGTGTGCTGTGGGATATTGGTTAAGGCCCCTATGCTCTCTCATCTTCAGTTTCCACATCTATAAGATGAAGGGCTTGGACTAGTTTTCCAGGATCTGTTCTGGTCTTTTTTTCCTCAAAGCATAGACAGCTTGGAAACCTAATTGGTTAGAAATGTAGTCTGCCTTCAGGGAGACATAAATGGGGTTGTTACAACCTTTATGAGCGAGAGACAGGGCCCATCAAAGTCCCGTTGGCTAATAGGCTCAGATCCCATACGAGCTGACCTCAAACAGTCATGCATAAAAACAATGAAGAGAATGTTCAATTTTCTCTACTTCCCCAACCCAGCACTTCCTGAACCATACTGTGAAACACTAACTCTGTGTGCTGTTAATAAGTGTTCCTCAAAAAAAAAAAAAAAAAAAAAAAAAAGTGTGCAGGAGGCAGCTGATTGATATTTCTCTCTCATCAACGTTTCTAACTCTCTATCCCTCTCCTTTCCTCTCTGTAAAAAAATCAATAATATATATTTTAAAAAAAATAAATAAGAAAGGAGCTTTAGTACTATGAATGTTAGGTACAGTAGATTAAACAAATTCAAACAGGTTTCTTTATGTAGGGCTTCTCAGAGCTATTAGTAATAAATACCTACCAGGTCTTGTGCTAGGTCCTCATTATAGGCATTTCATTTACTCTTTATTTTACAGGTGAGAAACTAAGGCAGAGAGGTTAAGAACCTGACATAATATCACACAGCTCATAAGCGATGGCACTAGATCTTAAATCAAGGTTTGTTTACCATCAAAGTAAGTTCTCTTAATCACCGTATGGTACTCGCTTCCATTAGCCTCCAAATGCTAACAGATACCACCAATCTCCAAGAGGGGTCTCACAAAATTATTTGTCCATGGACCTTTTATTATTTATTTCTCTGCAAGTCTATTTTTCTCTAAATACCTGTGTTTCTACTAGTCAACAGAAGGCCACTCAATCCTTCAATAAAAAATTTCAACTAACTAGGAAGCAGAAATTAAAATATTAGAACTAGAGATGTAAAAGACCTTTCCATCCAAGACCCTCATTTTCCAGAAAAGCTTGTTAACTTCTGAAAGAGGCAGTAACTCAGAGTAAAGGGAAGAATTAGATTCTAATCTAGATCTTCTAGGAGGTTCTAGCATATAAACCTTTCTCATTATGCCTCTAAAACATTTTTATGTCTGGGGTTTTCAGCATATAACCCTGTTTATAACTGATGTAAAGATTTCCTCAAAGCAAGTGACTGGTTTACCCAATATTTAGTCTTGTCTTTACTATTAAACTGCAACAAAAAAATAAAGAAACCGCAAAGAACTGTCAAAGGTAAAGGTCCAAGGAAACATTACCTGAGAATATCATAACTGGCAAAGTCCCATTGGTAGAGGCCCAGTGCTGAACTACAGACGATGTATTTGCCATCAAAATGAAGTCTTGGCTGCAGGCAGATACTTCTATCCTCAGAGACAGACAGTGTCTTTAAGCACTTGCAGTTGATTTCTCTCCCAATTGGCCAAATCTACAGATAAAATCAGGAGAGATGACAGACGCATCACCATAGAAAAGCATGTTCCCTTAATGTGGCTTTTGACTGCTGACGTGAGATATAAAGTGAAGTAAACTGGAAAAAAAGGTTTTACAGTTGAGTTCAAACTCTGATTCTGCATGTGCTGTGCTGCCTTGGATAAAATATTTAATCTCTCTGAACCTCAGTTCCCACAATGAGGATAATAAATGCCTACCACATGGAACAATTTTAAAGGTGCCCTAAAAACATATGTAAGATTGCTCTGTTAACTTTTTGCAATTTTTTTTTATCACACAAATAAATGTTTATATTTTCATAGTTCAGACCTAAGAATTAAGGAGGGTAGAAGATACATGTCATAAAAAAACAGAATATGTTAAAGATTATTTTCTGTTCTTCATTTTAAAATTAGAGTTAGCCCTGGCCTGTGTGGTTCAGTTGGTTGAGCATTGTTCCATGCACCAAAAGTTCGCCAGTTCGATTCCCAATCAGGTCATATGCCCCGGTTGGGCTCGATCCCCAGGAGGCAGTCGGTGGATGTTTCTCTCACATTGTGTTCATTCTCTCTCTCTCAATAAAAAACAAAACACACACATGTACACATAAAACAAATAAAAATCAGGGTTAGAAACTGCCCATAACATAGAGATAATGAATAATTCCCCTTGCAATAAGTTTAAAATGTCTTGGACTAAGACATTTCTGTTACCATGAAACTTAATTTTAATTTAATTTTAATGTTCTTATACTGGTCAGTCTTCTTTGATGACAAAATAATAGAGAGAAAAACCTTACCTTGATCTCATATTTGTCTGCACTTAAGAGGATGTAGTCTCCAGGGCTGTGCAAGAGAGACTTAACTTTGCACTTCTGCAAAACCACCTAGAAATATAAATATCCACATTACAGAACGATCTTTTTAATGCTACTGTTACCTTGCTTTTTTAAAAAAATTAAAATATGAGAAAGAGCTTGAAATGATATTGTATGCTAAAGTAACTGAGCTAAAACTCTACGACCAAGTTAACCTCCACCAAGGGTTTTACTACAACCAGTCTCTAAATTATCAGCAGAATCTAAAATGTCCAATGTTGGCAGCATTTAATGTTGGCTTTGGTCTGGAAGCAAACATTAGGACTAGTTTTAAAAACTGTAAAATGTTACTTTATAGAAAATGTGAGGAACAGAAAAAAGCCCACAGACATAGAAAAAAATACAAATCATCTGTTTTCATAGGCATGTGCATTATAAAGAAAAAAGCACTGGACTTAGGACTAAAATCTGCCATATACTGACTTTGTAGCATTGGACAAGACCAACTAATCTTTTTCTCATTTTCCTCATCTTTAAATAGGGGATGAGACATTACCTAAGACATCATAATCAGAGTCCTGGCCCCAAGTCCACTGTTTTTAACACAATACCGAATTGCCTTATGTAACTTCTATAAATACTCAACGTGCCCTGGCTGGTGTGGCTCAGATGATTGGAGCCACCAAATTTCATGCACCAAAAAGTGGCAGGTTTGATACCCAGGTTGCAGGTTCAATCCCTGGTCGGGGTATGCACAGGAGGAAACTGTTTCTCTCTCACACTGATGTTTCTCCCTCTCTCCTTCTCTCTCCCTTCCTCTCTTTAAAAAAATAAAAATAAGTAAAATATAACACATAAATACTCAATGTGCCCAATACGGGAGTATTTTCCCAATTTATTATGATGGTAAAACAGGCATAACATAAAATGTACTATCTTAACAGTTTTTACGGTTTAGTGGTCTTATCAACCTTCTCACAAACTGCTCTCCTTTAGCTCCACCTATTTCAGAAAGACACAATCATCATCCAATCTAAAACCCACTAGTCACCTCTGACTCTCCTCTGTTCCCCATGAGTTGGCAAGTTTAACTGGCTTTTCTTAAAGACATACCCTTCATGTGTGCCCTCCTCTTTCTTTATTGCTGCAAAACTCCAAGCTCTGGATATCTTTTGCTTAGAATACTGCAAAAGCCTAAGTGACCACCTGTATCCATCTGTGCCCCACTCAAACCCACTTTTTTCTTAGCAGTTACTTTCTTCCTGTATGTGCCCTTACTGGGGATTTAACCTGCAACCTTGACAAATCAGGACAATGCTCTAACCTACTGACCTACCCAGCAAGGGAGCAGTTATTTTCTTAAAATATGAATCACACCAAAACCTTTCACAGTACGTATTCACCAATGCTTTCTGCTATACTTGTGACATCCAAAATCCTTAAAATGGCCGTCATACATGATGGCCACTGTCGTACACCTCCTCCAAGAACTGCACAGCTCCACTGGCCTTCTAGGTCATCAAATGTTCTCTGTTCTTTTCCACACCAGGGCCTGTGCCACACTGCACCCTCTGAAACACTCCACTACACAGCTACCTCCAATTTATTCTTCACATTTTGTCCCTTCTCAAAAAGCTTTCCCTGAGCCAATTAGATACCTTCCTAGATTTTTTTCTCAGACAACACTACACTTTGCCTCATAGCACTTAACACAATGTGTAATTATGTATTTACACGTGAAGTTACTATTTATTAAGTATTTCTCCTTCTAGACTAACATTTGTGTCAGGCCTCAGTCTGTGTGGCTCATTCCTTCATCCTCAGCCTCTCACAGAATAGCATGGGAGGTTCAAATGTTTCTGCATGGCATTTCCATTATTAATACTGCATTCCAAAGAAGCATCGAACAGACTGTCAAACTACAGCGGGAAGGTAGGGGAGAGTTGGGGGGGGAGGGGGGTAAGAGATCAACCGAAGGATTTGTATGCATGCCATGCATATAAGCACAACCAACAGATGCAAGACACTGGGGGCTGGGGGGAGTGAGGGCAAGTACAGGGAGGGGAGGTAGAGAAGGATAGGGGGAGGTCAATGGGGGAGGGAGTAGACATGTACTACTATTTGTAATACCTTAAACAAACAAAAAGTTGAAAAAAAATTACTGCATTCCATCTTCACAGCAATATTTTATTGAAAACTAGAAAACATCACAATATTCTCCTAAAGATCCTATACATGTTTATTTATTCTACTTCTTGCAATTATTTGTTTTTTCAAAATGAAAGTGGCTTTTCTGACTAAAAAAAGAAATACACTTATCCTAAAAGGGAAAAAAGCACCCACAATTCCACAAGAAATAATTGTCTTCAACATTTTGGTGCATGAACACATTCAGAAAATGGTGTCATATTCTATATAGTTTTTTGTATGTGACCTGTTTTATTTGCTCCCTGTACACACCTACTATTGAAAACAATAGGTGTTGGAAAACAGTTCAATATGATTCCTGCACAAAATTCCAAAATACAATGCATAGAGGAAGCAGCTCAGGTCTCTAGGCTATAATCCAATGACCAGCTTCTACAAATTAAGGCTGCTGTAAAATTATTAGGAAATTCACGTATCTGTTTCTTTCATCTTATCTCTAGGCAGTGGCTTGTTATCAATTGTGGGCATTTTTCCATGTCCATAAGTCATTCACATTTATAGTGTCTTTTACATGCTGGTCACTGTTATACACCATCATGCTTTGTGATTGTATTTATTCCATCTTATGGCTTACTTACCACTTCTAAGGCAGCATGCACCATCCCGTCCCCCACCCCCACAAAACCTGATGTTAAGATTTCTTTTGCAAGTCTTCCTACCTTGGTAACCCATTCTGTGTGCCCGGTGAGTGTGTTCAGGCATGTCCCAGCAGATAAAGCCCATACTTTCACAGTGAAGTCTGCAGAGCCACTCACCAAGATATCAAGTTCATCATTGTAGTCGACACTAAATACTAATATATAACAGACACAAAGTTAAAACATGCTTGTCTGAGTCTTTTATAACAGAGTTCAACAGAGTTTAATAGCGTTTATTCTCCCTAGCTGCCCAATTTTATAATTTCTCAGCCAGAGTACAATAAGAATGGTACCACTCAAGTAGCAACTTTATAAAAAAAATACGCATTTCAAAATTCTTGTTGTTATTATTCTAAGAATGGAAAAGTCTCTGAACTAATCACCTTTTATGCCTGTGTTAGCTTCAAAGTGAGAGGTAAAACCAGTTTTGGAGAAAATGGCATTTCTTCTCAAGAATGTCTGTCTGACACTACACAAAACTTATCTAGCTTATGCAGGAAAATAGAACTCAGGTGGCCCTAGTCATATTTGCATTATTTATTGCAGTCAGACAAAACATCAAGAATGTAAGCTGCAAACCAACATCTATACTCAAGAAAAGCCATTGTAATGAGAAAACAAAACACAAACAAGGATCTCAAAGGTCAGACTAAGCCATTCTCTCAAAACTGTCTGCATTTCTTCACAGCAATACGTCCAGCACCTAAAACAGTGCCTGAGTATATAGCAAGTGCTCAAATATTTTTCAATGTCTACCAAACTCTAAAGGGATGTTAGAGACCCAAAGATAAAGACATTGGTCTTTTCTTTTTTTTATTGATTTTTTTTTTTCAGAGAGGAAGGGAGAGGGATAGAGAGAAACATCAATGAGAGAGAAACATCGATCAGCTGCCTCCTGCACACCTACTGGGGATGTGCCCGCAACCAAGGTACATGCCCTTGGCCGGAATCAAAACCTGGGACCTTTCAGTCCACAGGCCGACACTCTATCCACTGAGCCAAACCAGTTAAAGCTGGTCTTTTCTTTAAGGGCCTCAATCTAAGTAAGCCGTGGAGGAAGTGGGGGGGGGGGGGC